TAAACTATAATATATAATTAAAATATAAACTTCCTTTGCTTTTATAAATATTAAAAAATTTAACCTTACTTCTTTTATAACTTCTTCAGCCTTTCTTTTTGGTTGACAAGATAATGATATACTACGTAAGAACTGAGAAGCTGCACGATTTCGCAAATCATTCTATAATAATAATAATAATAATAATAATAATAATAATAATAAAATAATATAAAAAATCAAATACATAGTAACAATAATAACTGTAAAAGCTTACTCTAAAATTCAAATATTGTTTTTTATCAAGTTTTAAAAACTCATGCTACTGAATATCCTTTTCATTTTTTTTGGAGCTTCTTTGTAACATTCATATTCATTAAGTTTAAATAGATTCATTATAGACCCTTTTGGAAACTATAAAAATTTATGCATTAACTAGTACAAAATAAAAATACACAAAAAAAAAAAAAATAGTAAATAACCTGTTCATTAATTACATCACGTAGAGCACTATGTGCATCTAGAAGTGAATCTGCAAGGGAAGGTTCAATTGCAATTAATACAGAATATAATCAATGGTGTTGCTTATAGCTTAGTGAATTAGGTCTTTGTCAAATAGTTCAAGAAAGAACTAATGATGCTGCTCAATACTAAGAATATGAATATTTATTGAAAAGTTGTTTTGTGGCATTTTTATAACAGGATCCAATTATAAATAGTAACTTATACACTTTTTTAATATTCGCAAAAGAAAATAGAAAATATAAGAAAAAGAAAACAATAGGTAAATTTTATTTATGCTTAATCATTAATGTATCAGTTTTAAATATTATTGATTTTTTTGTGATCAAAGTGTATAATTATTTAAATAAATAGCAATATACAATATAAGAAATAACTTTTTCTTTTTTTTATTGTAATAAAATTATTTCTTATATAAATGGATAAAGTTCTTTGTACATGTGTTTGGTGTCTTCAAAAATCAGATAATCATGGCAAATTAGTTAGTAGATCAATCTGAGCAAGATATTCATTAAAACAAAAAACAACTTGGCCTAATTCAACAAATATACCTGCTCAATAATAACATCTAATCACTTCTATTTCTTCAGCAATTGGATCAATATTATTATCCATCCACCCAGTAATATCATTATCATATAATAGTCAAAAGCTGGATGACTTAGAATACCACGAAACTATAGAAGAAAAAGAGACTTTTAGTAATAATAGTAAATATGATAAGGAAGATTACGAAGATTATAATGAGAAAGATTGTGAAAATTATAATGAAGAGTATAATGAGGAGTATAATGAGAAGTATAATGAGGAGTATAATAAAGAGTATAATGAGGATCATAATGAGAAGTATAATGAAGAGTATAATAAGAAGCATAATGAGAAGTATAATAAGAAGTATAATGAGGAGTATAATGAGGAGTATACTGAGGCATGCGATAAGGAAGATAATAGAGAAGCTAGTGAGGAAGGTAGTGAGGAGGAAAGTAATGAGGACAATAATAAGGAATTTGATAGTGAATATATAAATTTTGGTAAGCTTATTATTAAAAAATATAACTTTACTTTAATACTACTCATATAAATCTAAAAATTATTTTAGAAAATTTATTTAAAGGCCTACAACTTTTTTGAATTAAAAATGATTATAATATTTCAGAGGCAGCATTTAATAAAATTCTTAGAACTTTAAAGATTTCTGGAGTTACACTTTATAGACTTCAAAAGCTTCTCAGAAATCTTGTACCCTTTAAACCAAAACTAGTAAATTGCTGTATTAATTCATGTATAGCATTTACTGGTAAGCTTACTAATAAAAATCATTATCTGGAATATAATAAGCCTCATTATAAGCTTAACAAAGGATCTAGAATGTCTAAAAAAAGTACTGCCTACTGGTTAATTATAAGTTCACTTCAAAAACAATATAAAGACAAAATTTGAGCTAAAGCTCTTCATTATCGACATACATATACTTCAACACAAGAGTATATAGTTGGCGACCAAATAGGTAATATTTTTGATAGTTTTTAATATAAATCTTTAGTTTCTTCTAGACTTTTTTCAGACTACCGAGATATTGTACTAATGGCATCTACTAATAGATATTAGATCTTTCGCCAAAAAAGAGATGGCTGCTGGGTTATTCTTTTTATAAATGCAAATTTACCACCTGAAATACATGTTTAACGTGAAAACTTAATGATTTCTGCACTTATCCCAGGGCTAAAAGCACCAAAAAATTTTAATTCTTTTTTGAGATCACTAGTAGATGAACTAAAACAATTACAAGATTATTAGTATACATCTTATAGTTTATTATTAATATAAATATAAAAATAAGAAAAATTTATTAAATAAAATTTGGGATTACTTGTAGTATAGATAATCCCTTCTGGCAATATTTTTGAAAATTTGTCAGAAAGAGTTATCTATACTGCAAGTTATCACAAATTTTATTTAATAAATTTTTCTTATTGTTAATAGTAGTCTATTATTTAATAATAATAATATGGTAGTTTACTTATCAAGCTTTCTTTATAATAAATTTAGAAGGTGTTCAGTGTGTTGATAGTTTAATAGAAAAAACTTTTACTCTTCACACACATATTTTGAGTTGGTCTGGTAATATTCCAGCACTTGCTAAGGTCATGAATACAACTGGTCATACTTCTTATAAGGCTTGTCAGTTTTTTTTATTCGTGAAGTATGCTGTAAAGAAAACTAACATATATACTACCCACTTAAGCCTCCACATAGTGTATTAGGATGTCAATATAATTCTAAGGACCTACTATTACGAACATATAAAAATTACTTGCGAGATATTGTTACTATAGAGCATTTACATAGATTATTACGTAAACACGAAGTTCAGAAAAAAGGTAAAGTATAAAAAAATTTTAGACATTTCTACTATTCTCTCTGTTATACAAATATTTTAAAGAATTCTAATATTTCTATACTTTTTTTTTATATTTCTACACCTTAACCCTACTTATATATATGTTGTACCCCAAATAACAATCGGCCTGATTGTCAATCGGGTAGCCCAGATGACAATTTGATTTTAGACTATCAATCTTGCCCCATATGCAAATTGCAGATCATATTTACATTTATAAATAAATCGACCAATCAAAATAAACAAAGTTCAA